AAAACCAATACCAAGGATCAGCTCGAAGCAAAGACAGAACCTTTTGTTACTGGTTTGATTCCGATGAGAAAATATCATCCGTATCTGCCTTTTCTGGAAGGGTGTTCTCCCATGCATTATATTGTGCATTGACTCCACGTGGGAGTGAGGCAGGCGTCCATGCTTTCTGTGGAGGCAGACTAGTGGCGTGCCACATTTTATAGTTAAGGTCTCCTCACTAACACTTCCGCAGAACCTCAAGTAGTTCATCCATATTCACCCCCTCCAGCTAAACTGAAAGTGGTGGAATGAAGGCACCCATACAATTTAAAGTTGATATTAGGATGGCATTCAGCTTTGTTGTTGTTGTAATGATGTTTTAAAACTTCCTGGCATGTTTACAAGTATCTTTTCTACTCAGATAACTTTACATTTTATAGAGGAAGATCGAGCTGAAGAAAAGCTCTCCAAAAGCAAAAACTCAAACCCATTGTCAGTGAGTGGATTCCAACAAGCTGTTCTAAATGCCTGTGAGCTAGAAACCTTTTAAAGAACATTTCCCCCTGCTCAAAGATGCCAGAGCAAGCACACACCCCCACCCCCCACCAACCCAACATCTGACTGTGATTCCCCCAAAAGTTGACTTCTCATCGGTGGGATCAGCCAAGAATACACAACTATAGACAGGCTGAAACCATTTTGCACTCAGCTGCCAAGAAAGCTGGCAGTATAGAGGGGCTTTGGAGTCAGACAAAACTGGGTTCTGGCCCCAGCTCTTGGACCAAGTAGCCGTGTGACCCAGTATGAGTTTTGTAACCCCTTTGAGCTTCATCTTTGCTATCTATCAGTAGCTGAGATTGTACGTACCTAAAATAAGTCGATATCTATAAGCATTTATGATATATAGGGGGCACTTGGTAAACTATATTTTTAATGCTATTATTCCTGAATTAAGCACTTGTAGAATTAGATAAGATAACAAAAACAAGACAGGTTGGCTATATAAGTCGATTTTCATCAAGCCAAAGATACTGATTCCTTTTTATGCATGTTGTCTCCGCAGGCCTGTCTGGATAGGACAGGCTGGATGAACAATCTGGAGGAGAAAACAATGGGACTGACAGTTCCGGGGGG